ATTATTTTTTGCGGATACGAAAATGTTTGCGTCCACACGCAGCGTATTCGAATCGTTTTCACCGTCCACACGTATCCGTTTTCGTAAAATTTGCGGATCAACGGACACAAAAATTTGCGGACACGTGTGGACGCAACCCTTATCCGTAAAAAAAAAAAAGAAAATTGCGAATACAAAAATTTGCGGATACGTGTGGACGGTGAAAACGATTCGAATACGCTGCGTGTGGACGCAAACATTTCAAACATTTATCCAACACGTCACTTGGAGATTTTTGCGATTTTTTACTTGAAGATTGTTTTGCTTGCCAAAGAACATTTCACGTTTGCCATAAACAAGATGAATAAACTCTCTAACGAGGAAAATTATAAATTATGAAACAACAAAGCTTGATAATCATTGTAATGATGTACTTTTACAACCACCCAATTGACAAACCAATAAAAAGCCACTGGCGCCTTGACGATGATGATGATGATGATAATGGTGATGATGATGTAGGCCTGAAAGTATAACTATAAAGAACTCATTATTACTCGGGCTTTAAAAGAAATGCCCGAGGTATAAATTGGACTTTATTTGCGGTCTGTCACAAATCGCAGGTGCGTTCAAAGCGCATGCGCAAGTTCTATGCGCGTGCGTAGTATGCGCTACATAAGCACAGGGTCGAGCAATGGCGGAATTTTTCAAGGTTTCGTCAGAAGGATGACAGAGTTCACGAAGAATTCTTTCGATTTTCTGGTATGAAGCCCGAGTTCACGCAGATATGCGTCTAGTTTGGTTTATCAAATGCCTTTTTGGATCTATCTTTACTCTTTATCTTTTTGACCGTGATAGCAACTTTGCAATTTAGCACTATTTAGAGTCCGTACAGATCATCTCGGCAGATCTTTATCATCAAATAAATTGACCGTCTTATCCTTATTACACAATCCGATTTTCAGTTTTGACATAGATTTGAAGATAAATGACTGCAAAAAGACTAGTGTTTGAATCGGTCCAAATTAACATGGACGACCTTTAAAGATATATTCATTTGCTCGCCAAGAATGACGTCGGCATGTTGCTATCTTTCCTCGCGTAAGACATACTTTCAAGTTTTCGCAGTTTTTTGATGTCTCTCATTACATTAACGAAAATAACTTGAAGCCACTTAGTTCGTCTTATCTTGAAAAGTTAAAAGTTTAGATTCTTAAGAGTAGATATAGACCTTAGTCTGATGTTCGTATTTCATCTACTTTGTATAAAAAGGTGACATTGCAGCAACTGAGCGATCGTATTGATTACTGATTCTTTATTGGAATATAGAACCGTGAGAAAAAAGCCTCACATTTCAGGGGCGTAACCAGGGATCTTGCAGGGAGGGTGCACAGGGAATGAAAATGGAACTATTGCAGAATCAAAAAAGAAAAAAGAAAAAAAAAAAAAAAGAAAGAATAAATGGATGGATGGATGGATGGACGATTGAATAAATTCAACGGATAGAAGAATCTGAATTAATTTAATCGCCTAAATTATTTCAAAAGCTACTCAAAATAGGAAAATAAATGGAATCAACACAATAAATGAAAAAGAGGGCGTTAAAAAAAAAAGAAAATAAAATTTTCTCAAACATAAGTAAAATAAATAGTGAATCCGTTTTCAATTTTAAGAAAAATTGTATGACGTCCAATTTTTTAATTTCACGTTAATGATTGAAATAATCGTGGTTAAAACATTTCTACCATGCAGGGTTTTATAATTAGCCGCCATTTTGGTTGAATTTAACGAAAAAATCGTCCATGGTTTCTTTCGTTTATATACTGTGCAACCAACTTGACGTCAATGTCAATATGATTGCAAACCTATTTTTGGCGTCGTAGTTGTCAAAGATATTTGAGTCTTAAATGCGGGAAAAGTTTATCTCAAAGAATACATTTAGTTCATGTTCCTTTAATAGCTTTATGTATTATATTTTACTCCTCTTTAATCCAAGCAATTATGATATTTTCTGACTAAGGCAACTTAGTTTTTATACATCTCCTAAGAGCTTTTTATTTCATAATTACTTGATAAAGTGTGTAATAAATTCTTCACTAAGAAGGATGTCATAATCAATGGGTTGTGATATCAGAACCTAGTATAATCAAAGCTACAAAACACATTACTACATTCATTAGCAACCTTTTCGTACTCGCTTCGATTCTTAACTTGATTTATTATTCGATGTCTTCTCTTCATTCACTGACTTGTGGTGCTTTTAGGAACGTTGTCGGTCTGATTGTCAAACCAAAATTCAAACATCAATTCTATCTAATTCCAGCCATTTGGCTGACTAGGCTAAAAAACCTTCGAATCAAGAGAGAAACCTAACTACGATTTTGGACTAATCTAGCCAGGGAATCGATCCCAATAATACCCAGATGCATTAGAGAGGCTATGTAATGCACCGCCACTATAGCACCCGGATATTGTATTAACTTGCAGACTACTCTACAATAAGGTTCGCTATTCTTTTATATTCTTGCAGTATTTTTCGGCAACTGAAAAAAAAAACCCGTCAAAAATTAAAGATATATACTACTAGTCCTCCTCCTATAGCTACGGGTTGTTAGGAAATCAAGACTCAAACCGGCAGCCTCGTCAATACTTTTTATTGATGATAAAATCGATGGCTTTCAGGATTACATGAGATGGAGGGAATTATCTCTTAAGCCGCTTGAGCTGTTTACGAGGATTTTTTTTTTTTGGTTCAAACTTCATACCTCGTGACCCAAGAATCGAAAGAAGGCTTGATGGAAATTGTCTTTAGGAAAGTACTAATAAAAAAACAACGAAAATGACAGAAAATAGAAGCCATCTGTTGGGTTTAAAATCAATTCCCGAACTGTTATGTCAGGCAAACGAGTGAAGAGGTCCAAAGTTGACTTAAGAATAAAGTTTACCTTAGAGTCTAAATCGAATATTATGCTCCTTTTGATAAAAGACCAAATGTTGACAAAATGGCACTTATCTGACGTGCATTAGATAATGACCCCCGGAAGGTTCTGCAGTTTTCCTGAACAGAGAAGCTTCATAGGACATCTCATCCGGCGTCCAAGTTGGCTTGAGTCAACAGATTTTGTCTTCGCTTGATATAATCTGTATCATGACAGAATAAGCCTTTAATTAGGAACACAAATGAACGCCTTTTAAAATAAAAGCATTATTTGAATTATTTATTTTGACTGTTAATTTTATGAATAGAAGTTTTTCAATACCAATCAAGACATGCGAGTATGCCGTTCTCTCAATAGTTGTAGGGAGCCAACGTGAACTCATAATTTTATGATTTGGGAATTTTTAAACTGAATGATAGACTGACTGGGCAAAATGATTATTTTAGTTGACAGGGTCTTAGCGCCCACAGGGGCCGGGAGGATGGGGTGGGAGCCCGTGTCCCCATTCGATCATTTGTCCAATATTAGACTATGTTGAAGGGGCCTACCATGGACCATGCAACTCCAATAAATAACATTTATGGCATTAGATATTCATTTGTTTTGTGATCTCATGCTGCGAAGTGACTTTGTGGCCTTTGTGTGTGAGAGAGAGAGAGAGAGAGAGAGAGAGAGAGAGAGAGAGAGAGAGCATAAGTAGCTGTCAAATTCTGCTTTTTAAGACACGAAGGAATTAAAGACATTTTGTGAATTAAAACTTTCAAAATCCTTTATTGTAATTTTTTTAAAAGCATAGCAATGACTTTTCACGTCAGCTTAAAAAAATGCTCAAGGTCGCAAGAATCGATCGAAGCTAGGCACTGCTGAGATTTATTTTATTTCCTTAAGAAAGACAGACATATGTTTTAAGGTTATTAAAAGAAAAGGAAAAAACAAACAATGTTGTTTTAGGAGAAACTTGACAACTCTAACAAAAATAAATTAATTGATCTATTATGCGCATTATGCGTGCTGATTTAAGAATTATTTTAGTAAATATTCAAATTACTAGCTTGCTACTCTTTTTCTCCTTTTTCTTGCAGATTTTTTGAAGATCTGCCTTATCTGCATACTCAAAATTGGTGATATGAGTTTGACACTTTTATTTAGAATTATCGAAAGCAAATATCCCAACAACTGCACTAAGGTCACTAAGAACCAGAAATAACAACCAATAATAAAATAATGAGAAGGATAATTATAAATAAATAAATAGATAATGATATAGTAATAGTCAATCGTATTTGCCATTCCATACTGGACGGAAAGCCTGACACGTTTTGCAACCAATTCAAAAGTCTGTCAATAGATCGAATTAGAACTGATTTGAAAGTTGATTTTTACGGAGGGGGAAAAAAAACCCGGAGAAGCCGGAGGAAAAACCATCGAGGCACAAGAGAGAGCCAACATCCAACTCTACCCACCTACGACACCGAGACCTGCAGACTCCATGTGAGATAAAGAAAAATGAGTTAAAAATAGAGTAGAGGTGAAAATAAATAAAGGAAGGACATAAGGAAGCTGGCGCACTCGTGAGCCGAAGGGGTTATTTTTCTCATTGGTTAGATATTTTTACCAAAATTGTGTTTGGTTTAAAATATTTCCCCCGCTGATCGACATCTCCGCGGGCTCTAGCAATTTTTAATATTCTCGGCCTGGTTTGAATTGAAGTAGAAAAAGCCCGTTAAAAATCTTTTGTAGCACACAGTCAGTCGGATTCCCGTAATCTCGTAGTCCATTGTAAAGCACTGATATTTTGGCAGGTTCAGCAAAACGATACGAAAATTAAACAAGGCGTGCATTGAAGACTATCATTCTATTTAGCGCAATGAAATATTCAGTTCCGATTTTGGTGATTTAATCTATTTGCACTGAATATAATATATTCATAAATACTTTTCTTATTCTTCGATTTTGTTTTCTTCCTTTATTTTTTATTTTTCATTTTTTTATTAAATTATTTCCATTGTAAACCTTTTTTTTTTCTTTCTCACAGTTACATTCATTCATTTATTTTTTCTTCATTTTTTTTTGTCTGTGAGTTTATTTTTCCAAAATTTATCTGGCAGCAAATTCCAGCCGTAATTTATATTACAGCACATTAATTGTGGAAATCCGATATTGTTAAATGAATTCAAAATAGGTCTTCGCATCGGATCAGTGATTGGATTCATTTTGCTTGATAACGACGAAGACTTCTGCTAAAGCAGCTGATTGTGATGAAAAGGCGTGCTAGACCAACCGAATGATCTTCTTAATAACCGTCTTTAAATTATGGTCAGTACAACAGGATAGATCTTTTCGTAGTCTTAGCAAAATAATCCATTCACATTCTAAATAATAGGGCGAACTTTAACATTCTTTGTAAAAAAAAAGTCTCCCCACGGTTAATTCAAAACAAGTCTTTTCAATCACAATTTTCACCATAGCATGCATTGACAAAACATTTTTGACGATTTATCGACTTTCTGGCGCTAATGGTTATTAAGCCTAGTTTACAGTTGACTTATTTGCTTTCGGTTTTCGCCGTAAATTGCATCTTGATAGTGTCCTTCAAGACTTACTTAGCTTTGATCGATAAATGTATGTGTAAATGCCGTCGGTGCAGTAATTAATTTCTTTACATATTCAGTCGAAGGCTACCAAGGAAAATTATGCTTGTGCGATAATGCGCCCGTCAAACCCGGCCGCGCTTCCTCGTTGATATCTTCGACCTTTAATATTATTTTCTTTCATTGTCGTTTTAAAGCTTATTTTTACATTGTAGACCGTCAAGCCAGGGCTAATTGCGGTGCTTTAGGTTTTTTTTTCTGGCCACAAGTTCGCATCAATACCGCCAGCTTTCTTTAACATCATCCTAATAACCGAGTAATCATTTTTAGCTGTCATACGGAAACCTTGAAATAAATTCCCTTCCTTTACTAAGCAAACTTAGAACACTATATCCTGACTTTGATCAAGATAGTAGCTATAGGAACTCGGATTTATTATTAATTATGATTTGATTTTATTAGATATAGTTTTGCTAACGGCTTGTCATTGACAAAGATTTTTTGATTACGAGCGGGAAATCTGTAGTGTTTACAGTTCGGTCTGCTAGCACTGTCAGTTTACTGTCCGTGAATTGAATACACAGTGTTTACAGAATTAAGTCAATAATTTCAAGACAAGGTCCAATGTTTTGGTTCATCGAGTCTTCCCTTTTCTTCTTCTTCTTTTGTTTTATAAATAGGTCGATGCCTCTTCCACTGGCTTGACTTCAATGCAAAATTGTGTGAAGCGATTATGAAGCAGCCTTGCAAATGTCCTTCTCATTTCTTTGTCGCGGAACGAGTACACAAACGCATTAACTGCGCTGTTACCATAGTGCATCCATTTACTGAACGCAATAACTCTTAAAACATCAAAAGGAGATTTAGGCCAACAGCCAGGAAAACAGAAAACTCCTATTAATAAAACTACATAAAAAGGCAGCCAAGAGACAAAGAATAGCCCTGTGATTATTGAAACAGTGACGGCCACTTTGCGCTCTTTTCTGATGACATACTTTTTCGAGGACTTTCTATTTTGTCGATCCATCATTCTCTCGTCTCCCCCTGGTTCCTTCAGAATTAATGATTTAGCAATTTTGAATATTCCACAGTACATCGACCCAATGATGAAAAGAGGGCCCAAAAATCCGATGACTAGAACTGCTGGTATGTAGAACTTAATCCATGGTTTTGGGATTGCACTACGAAGCGCCGAAATAATCGCTGCTAAAATCCAGGCGAAAACGATGGTCACCTTGTAGTAGCGACTAGGAATAGAAGGGTATAAAAAAGGTTTCGATATAGCTAAAAACCTTTCAATGCTTATGGCGGTAAGGTGAAGCACAGATGTTAAACCGCTGAATATGTCAAAAGTTATAAAGAATTCGTAGAAAGAATCATCTCTTCGAAGACCGAGTAACTGAACTACGACCCAGCAGGGTAGCGAGACGATTCCCACTAAAAAATCCGAAACAGCAAGGTTGACTAGAAACATATTGGCTTTGGTCTGCAGGCGAGAATTGGATCGGTACGCCAGTACAATCAGAACATTCCCTACGACTATGACTACCGCTAGAGATATAGAAGATACTAGAAACACAATGGTATCTGTTTCGTGTGAATCTGAAGAAACAGTAGCAGCTAATTTTTCGATGGAATGATTCTTGGTCGAGTTTGTAGTGTTCCAGTCCCATGCATCCAAGGTTCCAGTATTACAAATACTACCGTTGGCAGGTGCACTCATTTTCGATCTAGTTTTCTATAGTGATATTTAATGAAGTGAGAGCTTGGTAAAGAAACTAAAGTCAACTCTAAATTTCACAGAACAGAGATCACCAGATCACTGTAGTACGGTTCTTTAGACAGCTTGCCTTTGATCTAAGATAAGCACATAGGAAAAAGCTTGCAAAAGTAGCTTATCGACGATTAAAAGAACAAGAGCCCAAGCTGTTGAATTTTCTTGGAGAGTGACAAAGACTTCAACTACTAACCAAAAACAGTCAGTAGAAAGCGTTGAAAAATTCTAATCTGTTCTTCGGGTCGGAGCAGTGTTTCCCCAGCGTTGGCCACTATGTTTGAAAGGATATTTCCAAAGAGTGTTTTTTTCTTTCTAGATACTCAAGTTAATAGATTCATATTCAGGTCTTTACGTGCACCTTTTCCGGTGGTTCTATGAGATGTCATAAGTGATCGACCTTTAATACTGAAGTGATAGCCGGAAAATCAGCGAACATAGAATCTATCCCAGCATGCTTTATGGTCCTGCTAGGCAACATGAATCATATATGAGAAAGACATAATGATGAAGCAAGGATAAAATTTATGTTTTGAAAAATGGTGGTTGAAGAAAAAACATAAAAAATCCAGCCCAAACGAATTGGTGTCCTATTCAAAAAAGCGAAGAAAACAAAAATATTAAGATGAGAAAAAAAGAAAAAACGAAAAATCAGAAAAAGATGAAAACACGGGACTTCTCTAGGTTAGGATTTAAAAATTAGAAATGTATTTTTATGATTAAGAATTAAAAATTAAAGTAGAAGCAATAAATTAAGCTAGAAGGATAAAGAATTTTGCCGTTACCATAGCAGGTGATCGATCGGATGAAACAAGATCAGAAAAGAAAATGAATATTAAAAAAAAAAAAAAAGAAAAAGAAAAAAAAAAAAGATTTAAATTAAGTTATATTGATTCTCCAAAGCTTCATTAGCCTTTTAGCACTCTAATATACTTCTTATTCGAACAAACCTGAAACAACTTCAAAAGTGTAAATATTTCTGAAGCTGTAACTGGTTTGAAAAAAAAAATAATAATAATGATAGTTTTGACGTACATTAATGACTTCAGAATTTAGTAATGTAGTGAGATGGATGCTATTCACTTGGATTTGTATAGTTGTTTCCGTAATTAAGCAGAGGAGTAATAAAATTCCTTCCAAAGAATAAACATTATTACGTTAGAAGACCTTATATTACTGGGTTTGTTTGTTGAGGTGACGGGAAGAAATAATTTCGTTGAAATAAGCTTTTGATATGAATTTTCTTCGATGGGAATGGAAATTACCTTTTACTTTAACTTTAAAATGTTACACTAATTCATTGTCTAGCAAGGAGATTTAAATAATACAAGAGCTTGAATGTAGAGAAGTAATTTCCTTAGAACTAAACTAAAAAAAACATCGTTGAGGAAAGATGAAACACCACAGCTGATTTTTTTCCTTTTTTCCCTCTACACATTATCGTTATATGTACACTGGCAATCATGTTGATTTGGATGCTCTCTCTCTCTCTCTCTCTCCTATGTATATATATATATAAACGTCAGAGATGAGAGATAAAAGGGACTTACTAATTTACTTACACAAGGAAGAGAAGGAAATTGTAAAGAAGAGAAAACGAAAGAAAGCAAGAAATAAAATAGAAAATAAAGAAGGATTGAAGAAAGAATAGAAAAAAAAAACATAATAAAACCTCGAATAGTTTTTGACAACCAACTATAGAACACCTTTTCTCTCTCCACTTTCCATGTTAAGAATGGCTCGCCTTAGGCAAACTTATAACGTCAACTTATCCCTAAAAAAACAACAAAGAATAACAACACTCCACGTATACATAGAGGAAACATCGTCGAGACAGAGACAGTGTCACTGATAAATATGCTCTTATAACATCAAAGAGCTGCAAAATAAGTACTTCGTAATTATTTGATATGCTTTTCGCAGGATTGACTCAGTTCAGCTGAATAAACAGTACACAACTGTGTGTTCGTAGGAGCCCGCCTGCCTTCAGGCACCAGCGGATTTTACTACTTTGAAAGTAGTAAAGATCTAATCCCGGCTTAAATCAAATCCAAGCCGTCAAAAGTCATAAATTTAAGAAACTGCCTTGCCGTCCATGTGGAGTTTTATATTTGAATCAGGAAATCCCATGTAATCTTTAGTTGTAAAGCCTTGGACAAAGCTGTTATTTCTAGAAACGTGGAACATAAGTATAAAGAAAAATGAAATTGAAAGGTTTAAACGCCTGGAAAAAGATGATGAATGTTTGGTACCTCGAATAATAAAAATATGTGTTTGCTTTGGGTGAAGAGAACGACCCTACTGCGTCACAAAAGCGACGAAAACGACAAACAATTTTGAGATTTTTCTCCAAATAAAGAAAGGAAATAATAAAAGAATGGTTTCTTCATTTATTAAGTCTTGTATCTTTTAATAAACAAAATGTGTGCCCCTTTGTCTCAGCCCAAAGTATTAAAACACACCGCAGGAGCTGAGAAGATATTTATTGGTCAAATTGAGATCAATTTTAATTGAAAATTAATTAATAATTAGCGACCACAAGGCTATTAATATTCAATGAAATTCGCAGTGCATTTAATTTGTAACCACTTTTTTCTGATCCCTTAGAATGAATCTGTACGCTATCAAGACAGAAAAAGAAAAAAATATCTAGCAAAGAATGTTAGACAAACACTAAAAGGAAAGGCTAGAAGAAAAGGAGGAAGGCTGGAAGGAAGGAAGGAAGGAAGGAAGGAAGGAAGGAAGGAAGGAAGGAAGGATTTGATTCTGATGATTATCCACTTCGATTCAGGATAAGACATCATATCTTATCTGACTATTATTTCCAACTTCAAATCGGTTTGTTAATAACTGCTGTAGATTTGCGCACCTTAGATCTTCAGTCTTCAAACTATGACTGTTTTTAACTACTGTTTTTTTACTGCTGTACACACCTTAGGTCTTCAGTCTTCAAACTGATGAATTCTTTATGGCAATTGAAACTGGTATAAGTCATTTGATGAACTGCTCCAATTATTTGACAAAAACTAAACTGTATTTACACGCGTAATCTAGGCGTTAAAGGGTGGCACGACGCAGCGCAGCACAGGACAGTACGATACCTCACCTTTACCACACAACAAGCTCACATCTGCAATTGAAGCAGTGCCATGTCGCAAAATATGTTTTTCTATCACTTCTATTTTATCTACTAAAATTGCCACGGCCAAGAAAATAATTTTCGATAAATTTTTAAACCCCATTAAATCATCCAAGGAGATAGGAGATGGGAGATAGGAGATGGGAGATAGGAGGTGGGAGGTGGGAGGTGGGAGATGGGAGATGGGAAATGGGAGATGGGAGATCGCATCGAAGCGAGACGAACGGTGAGCTTGCAATGATAGAGACCTTTTTTAACACCTTGAACAATTATTCATATGTCTCTATCATTGCAAGCTCACCGTTCGTCTCGCTTCGATGCAAAGACACGGCTACCTTTCAAGATGGCGCAGGGAACTATGAAGTGGACTATTCAAGATCCAAGGATAAAGTCTGGAATCTCTGGTGTTTCTTCGCCTTAAATATTCTCGTCAAGAATGCCGAGGTTACTATCTGATACAAACCCGATAAACGTTATATAGTCGATCTACAAGTGTAGCAGGTCTATGTAAGAGTTACTGATATACCGAGAATGGAGGCGATAATCACATAAGGCCCGATAATTAGTCATGTTCATAATTCCTTTCGTTCATAAAGGCTCCGACAACATTTTTTGAAATACACGTAATCTTAGATTGCACGTCACGTCATGGCGGCCTCTCGGGGAGCGTTGGTGCCATTTCATTTATGCAAAAGATATTACTCATTAGCATCCATTGTTAACGGCACCAAGATGGCATGCAACCCATCAATACCAAAAGCGTTAGCTGACTTCGAATATCGGCCACATTGTATCGGTCATATTGCACTCTTCATTGCACGCTTCTAATATTCATCAAAAGTCCTAATATACTTCAAAATAAGTGATTGGTGTAAGGACTAATATCAGTCATCATTCTTTTAACAATTATAAATGCATAATTTTCCATGACATGTAACTCAAAAAGCAGCCTTATTTTAGCTTCGTGTGGCAGTCGGTATTTGATGAATACGACTCACTCCGAGATTAATTTTTACAGAGTTAGTTTCTGTAATTTGATATTTATTAATATCCTTGGAATCCAAAGTGTATTTAAACAAATTTTTTCGTTCTTCAAATTAAACGTCTGATATTATATACTTTTTCAACAAGATAGTTGCTCTCAAGCAAGGCTTGTGCAAATAAGGCTGTAGTGATAGAATCATAGTAGTATAAGAAAAGAAAATAAGTGGACTGAAAAACGACTCTTTCTACTTCGATTTTTTTTTGAAATAATTAGCCTTTGCACTCTTATTAAAATATAATATTTGTAAAGATGTGCATACTAAGTTAAGGGATTAATCGGGTGAAATAAAGAAAAATCGAATTGTTGCAAAAATAATGTCAAACAGAATATATTTTGAATTAAACAATTTTTTAAAAATTCAATTTGTTCAAATTTCAATTTTTCCCCATTAATATTATCATTAACTTAAGCATCCTCATCCTCATCGTTATTATTATTATAGAAAATCATAAGTTTACCCTATGATCTTTATGGTAAAAAAAGTAACACTTAGACCATGATGTTCTAGAAACAATAACGTTATGGTCGCTTTTTTCCAGAGGCAAAAGAGCGACCGGAAACCTTAGTGAAACGTATAGAAAAGAAAAATGGATAAATACTTGAAACCCATTTACACCATAGAATAATCGTGGAAAACCCTTGAGATAGTAATCAATCATTTGACGTGTAAAGCGGATGGCACTTGGCAGCCTACTCTTATAGTGTCCTTAACTAAATAATGCAATATTTTTGCTCTTAATTCATTACATATTCGATTGCTAACAATTTGTAGCGAAGATAAGGTTTCTGTTTTATTCCTGTCCGTCATAAATGTATGTGATTGAGCAATATTAATATTGATGAATAGAGGAATAATATAGGGGGAAATGACATGTGCATTTTAATAGTAAAACATTGATTATGCTCAATTTATCTGTAGAAAGAATGATAATGATGGTAATGATGAGGATAATGATGAGAATAATGACGATGAT